AAGGGTGAATCCACCCAAACCACCACACCAAGCTAAAGTTAAGTTGAATTTTCCTTTTACAAACCTGAACAATAAGGAATGAAGCAACATGGATTGTAATCAAGCTTCTTCATGAATCGAATTTGCCCATTATCCTGAAGGCAAAAGAAGTTTCTCTCACCAAGCACAAAAACAGAAGAAACTGCCTGATTAAAGGAGACAACGCATATATCCAGTGCTTGCTCTCCGATATTTAAAACCCAATCCACCTTCAAAAGAAAAAAACATGCTCCAGAGATCAGTTGACAGGTGCATATTAAAGACAAAACTTAGAGAAGGCTCAGAACTCAAATTACATTAATATCATTAACATAGACAGAAAAGCAAAATCAAGGTCTTTTTCTGAAGGAGAGCTATCGTCTTATTTCGAAGGCAGCTGGTAACTTTCCTTATTGTGAGTAAAGTAGTAAAAACATCCACTTTTTGAAACAGTCATGAACTGATGGCTACGTAGTTCACTTAAGTATATTTAAATTTTAAAACATACATCCTATTTAAAATGAAAATGTTTTATACTTTAACTGTTACATCCAAGACCAGAGCATCAGAAGCATTTAAATCTCTCTGTATAAATTTCCTTAGATTTTAAGGATAACATTAGAGAGCAAAAGGTGGTAACTTACTCTACCATACATGTAAATGGAAAAATAGACTAAATTTTAGGTGTGTAAGCCAATATTCATGCTTGCAGTCACTAATGTACACCATTCAATCTGAAGAATGTTTGTGTATGTCATAACTTGTCTACTTTTCCAACTACATACACTGATATAATGAACAACTACTTACAAATCCTGCCTTGCCTATATCCATCCTTAAACAACACTACTGCTTATTGATACATTTCATTGGCTTCTTACTTCAGCTCCTCTGAGAAATTTCAACTAATTCACACATGCAAAAATTGCTTTTGACTGCTGCCAAGCTGGTTAATCAGAAATTCAGAATTTCTGAAGTAAAAAAATATTTAAGTTCAACTGTCATCACTTCTTATATGAACAGCATCAATAATTTTGCTTAAAGAACACAGAATGTGTTAGCAAACATATTGGCATATCTGATATCCAAAGCTGGAAGTGCCATCTTAAAAGTCAAAGGGAAAAAAAGCCAGGCTTGTGGCATTTGTCTGCACGTATGCTTCTCATTTTTGATTAAGTGTATTTAATTTGCAGCATATTTGATGAAGCTTCCAAATTTCTTATTTAAAAATTATGTCTTCTCCTAATTCAAGATGTAGGATTCTGATTGACTTACAGTTTGAAAAAATTCTACAATTAGCCACTGGAAGGAAGACGCTCTCCCAATATTTTACTGTTATACCTGAGATATGCTGAATCTAGCATTTTATGCAGTGTATTTAGTAGACAAGCAATTCTACTGCAGGACCACAGAGAATTAAATTCTCTTCCTCTCAATAGGAGGCAGCTCAAATATTAAACAACTTAATCATAGTTGTTTAAAACTTAATAACCTCCTGAAGACTACTGATTCCACATGTTTTTGACAAAAAGAGTCCAGGATACTGACTATTTACGGAACATTTTTCACTGCTGAGTTTCTCTAAGTACAAAGGACTCTCCAGTAGAATGAGGTTAATTTTTTAAGTCCAATACAAAGTCACAAATAGACTTAATTTAAAAACATAAGCCATATTTCAGGTGTATCTATTTATCTATTTTATTACAGTTTAGGTTCTGTATTACAAACACCACCTTAGAAACAGTTATTTCCAGTACACAGTTTGTTTTGGGTTTTTTGGGGTTTTTTTTTATTCCTCCTTAGAACAACGGTGAGTTTTAAGGCCCAACCTTAAACAACTGAAGATCAAAGAAATCTTCACTGGAATCTTTCCATTGCCTTCAGTGGCAATTGGATCAGGTCCTTTGTCAGCAGACAATGTTTCCATTTGTTAATTAGCATTGGTCTTTTTAACATATATGCAGTGTACCATACAAGTTATGTAAAATAAACAGCTTTTACCGCAAGTCTTTTTCCAGAACTAAGTTTTTGCTGTTCTGTTTCTTGTCTTTCATCAGCATCCGTCGCAAATGCCAGCACTTGGTATCTGTTATGGGAAGTTTTAAAAAGTAAAAAAAATAAAATATATCTTTGCAGTTAATACTCCTACATTAAGTAAAAAAATAAAATATAAACATTATATTATGAGTATACATACACAGAAAAAGCACAACCTAAAAGGATTGTTAGAAAGTCTACTGCAACACATCTATCATCAGCAAAGATGTTAAGACAAATATCACTGAGGATAACAGCTAAGTGTAAAGGCAGAAATTAAACCAAACATTTCTATTCATATTTTATCTCACATTAAAATACATTCAACAGCTAAATACATTAGAGGATAGAAGTCTAGACCACAAAGACAGAAGCAAGAAACCAACATATTTTCAAATTGTTAAATTAGGATTCTAAGAAACAATAAACTTTTGTTCTCTTAAGATTTAAAAAAAACCAAAAAACTCCTAAATTACCCTGAAATACAATTTGCTACAGCTAATAGTTACACTCTCAAGCACATCTGTTAAGTAAACGAAGTGGTTGCAATCCCAGAGATAAAAGCATACTGGCACCAGTATTCTATTAAATTACTTTTTCTTACAACACATATACCTTCTCTGACATAAAGAAAACAATACACGATGTCTATAATCCACTCATGCAATATCCAGAATCTACAAGGCTGTAGGTGTTTGTAAATACACAACTAATACGGGGCCCCACTCATCCCACTTTCTCCAAGGTATTATGAAAGCATCCCCCTTCGTGCACTTGACCATCACTTGCACACTGGATTTAGCACCTATCCCTCAGTCTAGCAGTCAAGGAGGTTAACAAGCCTCTTCTGCAGCTTTGTCAGGTGGATTCCATCTCTCCCCACCAGCCCTCATTCCTTTGAGAGGATCCTCTGATCACAAAAGCCAGTGTCCTATCTCAAATCTCTTCTGAAAACTGAAGAGATTCATCAGACTAACACCTATTTGCATCAAAATTAAAATCCCATTGAAACAACTGGAAGGAACATCTTTCTCAAGCAGTATGGTGTAGCCAGCACTGAAAGCACAGATTAGGCTGAACTCAGAGAGAGAGTAATCATTCAAAAACATACAACATTCTTTTTCTTCTTTCCTGCAACTACCTCTCACCTGCTTTGGGATCCAAAGGAAATAAAAATTAGACATTATGACTTTGAATTTGTTTACATACTAGATAAGAGCACCCAAATATGACATAGTTACTAAGCATGAACACGTACTTGTAACTCTCAACCTGTCGACAAGAAGACACCGTAATGAAAGAATCTGTTCGAGAACTGTAAGTCAAGGGACCAGGCAGAAGAAAACCAGGTAGAAAGCGGCCAAAAGCATAGCTTTCCTGTTCAAACAACATGAGCATCCCATCCATGGACTGTATGCATATCAAATCTCGACCTAAGGAAAGCAAAAGAAAGAAATACAAAGAAAAGAAAGCCATGTTATTTATATAAATTTAACTCTATAATCGTTAGTAAATTAAAAGTGTAGTCGTAAGTAATCCTAACACAAATAAGATTCATTTTAATTAACATGAGTGTTTACTATAAGGAAGAGCACAAAATATTCTAGTCTCAATAATAGCTTACTTAGTAAAATAAACAAACTAGACTTTGTGAATAACATTCAGAATACACTAAGAGCAACAAAAGAGTTAATGTTTTCTTTCAACCCAAAATTTCTAAAGATAGAACTATTACAATTTCAGTTAAAAGAAATGTTTCAATACTCCTCAAACACCAAATTATTCTGGTTCTTAAATGCCTCTACACCTTACGAGCAGTCATAACAACGGTGATCTAAAAATAACCTATTCTACTTTTTCAAGTCTACTTAAGCAATATAACAGAAAGTCCTACGAATATGTATTATTGTGAAAATAATCCAATGGTAAGGTTTTCTACTCTTTGCATTCACATCATCTGTCTTCAAAGAAAGAAAAAGCAAAACAGGTCCACTCTGTTACCAACAAGACCAAAAAAAAAAAAAATCAAATAAAAAAATCCAGTTTGGAGTAAACTACTTCAACCCTCGTCCATTATCTAGCAGCATCCACACATGGTTTAAGACATGACTTGCCATGCCCCAAGTCTGACAATCTAAATTCAAAGTCTCATTTGGAAGACTTCTGAGAACAGAAGCTGACTACACAGTTTGCACTTCATATGCGAGGGTAACAATTCAAACCAACAATATTTTGCACGCATTCAGAGAGAGCTATACCAGCAAGACTAACACCCTCTGAACTTGATAGAAGTAACTCTCCTGAACTCAGAGATAAGCTCCTGTCTGGCAAACACAACATGAAATACTTGTAATTCAAAATGTCTATTCTCCTCCATTAAAATACTCCATTGTATCTTGGGAATTATTCTACATGCATGGAAGACCCAAATAAATTGTCTGTTCACTGAAGTTCATCCTCAATCTTTTAAGGACTGTTTTCTAACATAAGAAGATGAAGCACAACAAAAATAGACTAAAACTTCATTCTTAACTTTAGATAAAGGTAACAAGGTCAGAGAGATATTCAATACCTGAAAAAGCAACAAATGTAAAGTACAGCACAAAACATTGTTCATCTCCATTGTGATTCTTCACAGAAATTTTAAATATTTAAAAACAAACAGTACTGTAATAGGTCAGCAGTACATCACATTACTTGTCCTTGTGATTAAAACATAAAATAAAAAATTAGCTTAGGCTAAGAACAGAAAAAATGATAGGAAGGTAAAGCCGCTGGGTCTTTTCCACTTGCCCTCTCTCAAGCCTTTTTTCATATTTTTCCATTTTCTAAAAATCAAGCTCTCCCATCTTTCTTTCCAGATTCTGCACATAATTCACTACATGCTCTACCAATGCTGTTGCAAACATCATCCATTTGATAGGAAGAGCATTTGAAAGTGTAGTTAATGTTCATTTGGTAAAGGAAAAGTTGAACTCTCAGTTTCCACTGAAAAACTTAAAATACTTCAGTCCTTCACACAAATGATTATATAGACAGAACTGCAAAACAATTTCAATAGTGTAATTTTAGGAACATTGATGGCATTTCAAGCACTTAATCACAACACCTGCTTCTTTCTTTATGTTCGACATAGAACTTTTCTGAAAACCTTAAAGGTCATTCTTATTTAATGGAGTTTTGTTGGTTTTGTCTGTTTGAAAACTCCTAAAGTGCATACATTTTTAGGGATAACATTAACTGACAATATCAAACACTTGAATTTTGCTTTAGCAATGTAGTAATAACATTTCTAATTGACAAATTCACATATTAAAATATAGAAGAGAACTTTATTCAATATTAGAAAAATTCCTTATTCCTTATTAAACATGAGAGAAGTATTCCATTAATCAATGATCCTTGATTGCTTCAAAAAGAAACTTAGCTGAGAAACTATGAAAACTCATTTCCCTAAGATGAAAAATGTCAGAATCTGTAGTAATTAACTAAGATGTTATACAAAAGTAATTCAACATGGAAATCGTTAAAGCACTGTTCAAAAGTAGCCAGACTGAGATTTTGCCTGATCCTGAAGTCAAATCAATTTATCTTTGGATTTTTTCTACCACTGCAAGTGAGAAAATTTAAATACATCATCTTTATAGCAGCTCATTAAACCAGTGACCACTTGTCACTAGCAACTCCAATTTGACGATTTAAGTCTCAAAAGTTTAATCTATAACATTCTGGTTTGTACCACTATGCTGGAAACTTGAAACATTTTAAATGTTTCCTCTTCTACGTGCAGATTAAAGTCATGCATCCTTCTGTGAAATGTAAACTCTTTACCTCTGTTAACAGCAAATATTTCAATGAAGAAATGTTTCCTGTGACTAACGCAATAATTTTTGAGAGAATTATGGCTTTGACATAGATCTCCATAAACATTTTCTAAACAGACCAATTATTTTAGAGTTATGATTTTCCTAAGATTTTCTACACAGGCTTTTTAAATTATAAAGCAGAGTCTAGGGCTTCTGTTCAATCATAGAATTTATTGGTTATAAAATTAGAAACATATTCTACAGTATACAGATTAGATATGCATATACATGCACCTCAAACACATAACTAGTATGTTTCCTCCAAAATGATTTGCATAAAGCAGCGTGCTGGTTTGTGCTGGCACAGAGTTAACTCTCTTCACAGTAGCTAGTGTGGGGCTGTGCTCTGGATTTGTGCTGAAAACAGTGTTGATAATGCAGAGATGTTTTCGTTACTGCTGAGCAGAGCTTACACAGAGTCAAGGACCTTTCTGCTTCCCACATCATCCCACCAGCGAGGAGGCTGGGGGTACACAAGAGGTTGGGAAGGGACACAGCCAGGACAGCTGACTCCAGCTGACGAAAGGGATATTCCAGAGCAAATGGCATCATGCCCAGCATATACAGCTGGGGGGAAAAGAAGGGGAGGGACATTTGAAGTGATTGCATTTGTCTCCCTAACTAACCATTAGGCATGACAGAGGGGTGCTTTCCTGGAGATGGATGAAGATCTGCCTGTTGATGGGAAGCAGTGAACGAATTCCTTGTTTTGTTTTGCTTGTTTTACCTATTAAACTGTCTTTGTCTCAACCCACAAGTTTTCTCATTTTTACCCTTCTCTCCCCTATCCCACACCAGGGGGAGTGAGCAAGTGGCTGTGTGGTGCTTAGTTGCCAGCTGGGGTTAAATCATGACAAGCAGCTTTATTAAGTATTTAAGAATCATTTACCCTCTTAAAGATTCTTCACAGGACATTTCAGAACTGTTTGGTTTATTCGTAACTTGTAGCTGACATTCTGCACCTGAAATATGTGGTATTCAAGAGGTCACAGCAACTACTGATCATAGTCAGAATGAACATTTGGTTTGCTGCTTATACCAAGTGTCTCTGAAGTACTAGTCAAGAATACTGCAATGACTTCATTAACATATGATTCAGAAATTAATGACAGTGATCTACAAATAAGTACCTTATATGTTTCAATTAAAAAAATAAAGCAAGATGCATATGTGAATTTGAAATTTATTTAACATCAAGGTTCCTACAATTCTGAATGTCCTGCTTTTCTTCACTAACAGTTGACACTAGCATTAGTGTAAATAAATAAAAGAAAAATAATGTGTTCATAAAAGAATTGTAGCAACTATACAAGTTCAAAGAGTATCACGTGCAGCACATTAAGGCTGTGAGTAGACAAATGAGTAAAACCAATCTGCTACTGCTGGCAGGAGCAGTTCTGCTCACCTCCCTCTCTCTGGGCCTCCAGCTCCCTCTGCTCAGGTCACATAGTTCCTCCCCACTCCCAAGCCAGATCTGGTACTTATATCTGATGGCTGTTGAGCTGATAGCAGGACACCATCCTGAATTTGTAATTTTTAAAAAAAAGTTTCAGATGAGTGAATCACCACCTCACACAAATAACCCCATACAAGCTTAGCAACTGCCAAGGGTGACCTGGAAAGTATCAAGACTGATATGGCCAAATGTCGCAAACCAAAACCTAGGGACATACCACAGCAAGTCCAGTAAAGGCCACAAAGATTATTAAGGAACTAGTGCATCTTTCAGATGAGGAGAAGCTAGAGAGCTGAGGTTGTTCAGCCTGGAGAAGAGATGGCTCAGGGGGAATCTCACCAATGTGCATAAATACCTAATGGGAGAGAATTAATGAGAGCGAGACAGACTCTTCTGTGTGGCACCCAGTTACAGAACAAGAGTCAACAGGAACAGGATTTAATCCTATCACACACTCCTGATCAGCAGACAGTGGAAACTATTAGAGAAACTTGAGATGTTTTGCACTAGTATGCTATCAACTTTAATGATATAATTTAATTTAACTTTAACAACCCAGCTTCCACTTCCTAAGAGTTGCTGACATTATTATCACACTGCTGATACAGTCTAGGAAAAGTGTGAGTTAGCCAACTGTATAAAATTATGAGTAACCAGTAAAAGTACAGAGAAACTTGTACAAACACTGATAACTAGTAAAAGGTGCTAGTTTAGGTATAGTTATCTTAAAGTAAAGTTATCGGCAACTACAAATAACCAGTGGCATTTTTATTTGGCTTGCAAGAAAACAGTGCTTCATAATCCAGGTGTCTATATGACCATGATTATTCTACACCTGTTAGCTCAAAAATCACATAACATTTGCATTCAGCATTCAAAGCCATACTGAAAATCCTCTCAACACTTTACATTAGCTAACTGTTTGGTTCCACTTCTATTTTACACCTTTAGCAAGAATATGACCCTGGAAGTCTGGGAGCAGAGGGCCTTCAACTCCCCTTCCACAGTTTCCTATGGATTTTCCTACCCTCAGCAGTGTGCTAAGGAAGAAAGGTGCAGCTGTTTGCCCTATTTCAAGAACCTTAACTTTCATTATCTAGCTTCAGTGAAC